GCTCAGTGAAAGAAGCTCCGTGCCTAACTGTAGTGAAGTGACCCAGTCGAAGTCTGTCCTGCATGCTTTTGTCCCGACATGCCATTTTCTCCTGTTTTGACTAAAGGAAGGACAGAAAAAGATACCGGCATCAAAACACTTGTAATTCTTCCATGTGTGAGAAGTACAACAGCAAACTCACACAGTAGCTAACAGCTGAAATGAATCAGAGAGTGATGAAACAAACTTACTTTTTCAATCAGCAGCTTCTTGGACATGGTCACACACTTATTTAAGCGTTCCTTATACCGTTCCAGCATCCTCTGCTGTTCATCAATCTGTCTCCTCAGATCACAGTTAGCCTGGAGCAGATCATACAATAAAAGCAGGACAAGGGTGAGGTCAAATGTACGACCAGAATAGAATTGTGTCTACATATACAGACAGAGAGAATGTGTTTGGTCTAATATGCCACAAATTTAAAAAAATAGACAACGTGATGCTCTCAATGCAGTAGAAAATGGCAAGCAGAGTAGCAGGGATCAAATGTAATAAGATTAGTACCCTCAGCAAATCGTCTATTCGGCCTTCCTTCTTCTCCAGGTCAGAGTTCTTGTTGTTCTCCATTGCTGTTAGTTTCTCTATGGTAAGGTCAGACTACAAGGTAGAGTGAGCACAAAAGAACAGTGTTAATGTTGGTTCATTCTGCATCAGGGAGAAAAGTCTTCTTGAAACAATTCTTGAAATGCTTTGGTTCCTATATGCAAATTAAACAACAGCATCCTTTTGAATTCCAGTAAGAGTCAAAACGGCCAGCGAGCCCTTATAGCATGTTAGCTACCTGCGTGGCTTTGTGGAGCACGTGAAGAGAAGCAGGCTTCAGTGAACACGTCGAATGCTCTGTGTTGACCGAGCTTACGGATGACGGACTTCCCTGCTGCACCTAGGAGGCAGAAACATTCATCCAATGAAAGCCTTATACATACAGCCTATGTCTTAAATGTGAGAACGTCATCACAGGAAAGAACTTGTGGAAGAAGTTGCATCTGTCCGCCTGAGACCAAAACATTGTATCATGAAAGTGACGACCAAAAACTAAAGACACTGAAACAAGTATACAAGAAACTAGGTTGAATTTCCATCATTTTATCACTGCTTTCAATGGTCTTATGCTTTTTGAATTTTGGACAAAAATGGTGGATTAATAGACCATTTATTTCTAAACATCAGAATCAGAATCCTTATTGGCCTTGTATGCTCACACACACACACAGGAATTTGACTTCAGTGAAACGACAATTTTCAAACCTGTAAAAGGACTTGATTTATCGTGTTAATAACAAGCATGGAAGAGAGAGTGGCAGGAAAGAGTGTAGGGAATTAAAAAAAAGCACAAGAGCGAGCATAGAGCAAACCATGCTCACCGTGACAGGAGGGTTGGAGAGCGAGTGTTGTGGGGAAGAGCGGACCACTGGTGGGATTCCCCTGGCAGGGCTGGTACCAGGACCACTACCGCCCGCAAACTGACAAGACAAATAAAGAGAGAAGAAAGAAGAAGAAAGCTGTTTAACACCAAGGCTGAGATGGCTGAACAGGAGGTTAGAAAGTAAGAAGGAAAAGTGTTTTTTTTTTTTTTTTTTAACGGCTTTGCAGGACACACATCAGTTCAAAGAATAAGAACAACTATCTGCCACTCACCTCAAAATAATCACTAATTTTATGTCCCCTTGCTCCTGCTTTGCCTAGAGGAGAGAGGAAGGGAGTTAAGAGAGGCTGACGTGTGAGATATGTGAGGACGATCACAGCAGTTGGGTCAGTCCTACCTTGGCTGTTGTCAAAATGGTCTGCTTTTCGTTTTCTCACTCTCTGGTCATTTGCCTTTTTCTCGGGAGTCTGTTGCAAAAAAAAATTTTTTAAATGGGATGAATCAACCACACATATAACCAGGCAACACAGAGAGATGGCGAGCATGAAAAAAAAAACATGTTCATTAGTGACAAAGACAAACCTCTAGCTCTTTGTCACTGAGTGAGCCGACACTGCATAGACTCTGATTGGATGACTCATTTTGGTTCTGACCCGAGCCCTGTAAAAAAAAAAAAAGGAAAAATAAATCAAAAACAAAGCACAAGGAGCCATTAAACACGTAGACGCATGGAAGAACAGAGCCAAGAGATACGAATGCTAAAAGCTGCAACTTTGAAATGAGTCCATGTGTACTTGTTGTGTATGCATGCACCTGTGAGAGGGAGCAGAAACAGGAGTTAGAAAACAAACGAGTGGGAAACTAAAAAGCAAGGACGCAGAGGTTCCTCTTAATACTGTCATCATTTACATCCCCCTGGATCTACACCTATATCAGTCCTAACACCGGTTCCCTAGGTGATGCCTGTCAGTCAAATGAATCACATCAGAATTCAGCAGGCACTGTCCAATCAGGGAGAGATACTTAGTCATTCAGAGCACACCAGAGCTCCCTCGCTGAACCCTCCTAAAATGGCTGAACATTTGGCATGCTGCTGGGGATGTATTCCTCCCTCTCTCTCTGTCACCTTTAGATAATGTCATCCATTTTTCTCCTGTTCACCGTGGTCTTAGCCATTTTTTTTTCCCTCTCTGGAGGAAGCCTGTATAAAAAGCGCAGGCGCTTTGCTTGATCCCAGAATGGTTGATTGTTTTCTCACACACGTCCTGGCCTCCTTAAGATAACTTGGGTCGTTTGATCCGACTTGTTCAAAAGGAAACGCACTTTTCAGTATTGTAGCAATGTACTCTGCTCCATAAGCAAAAGGTGGAGTAGCTCTTTGCTCGGAAGGATTATAACTTTTCTTTCTATTATATCATGTAAGTGACACCACAGAGAGAGCATCAGTGCCACAGGGCTGTTCAAGGTCAAGAAAGAACTCAAAGCTTCTGTGTCATTTCAGTGAAGGGCTTTTAGACCACCAACCATTGTTTTTTTCCATAGGTATTGTTCAGACACATCTCTATCTTTCCCCCCCCCAACATACATTTAATCTCTTGTCATACAGGGTTGCTTTGGAATAATGCCTTAGCGAGGGACGCCATTTTCTCTGCGGCAGCAGCCATGCCATGCTCTGGGCTCAGCTCTGCCTATGGCTGGCACGGGGCCCACTCCTGGCGCTGACTCTCGCTCCCCTAACTGTTCCAAGATCACCTTCCACAAAAGACAGCTCCATCCATGTTTCAAGCAAGAGGCTGGAGGGCTTAATGCTGCTCACACCTGGTCAAGAACTATTTCTGCATTCCTCCTCTGCCTTCAGTCTTCCTCCCCACTGCCACCCTTGTACCGTCTGTGGCCTTTTTGGCACACATTGCCACTTGCATATACAGGCACTTCAGCAACAGCCAGGGAGAGATGCCATATCACTCCAGCCAAAAAACACAGACACAGCTCAACCTTCTCCAGAGACAGACAAAGAAAAGGAGTGGGGCCAAGCCTCCCCAGGCCATACAGCAGAAGGATCGTGAAGCAGAATGAAACAAAGAAAGGAGGAGAGTCACAAACATTTTGTGATCAGGAAAACCTGGGATTATAGAAACTTTCACAGGAGATGCTCCACCTTAGCGAGATCAGTTGTGACACAAACCTTAGCTACGCCGACCCCAGTGAATCGAGCTTCCAACAGCTCTTGCCGTCGGGGGTCCAGGCTATGCAGTTCTTCCATCATGGCTGCAGACACAAGAGCACAGATTAAGAAAGACGTTGCAGGGTCTGGTATATTTAAGTGGGAGTGACAGATCACTATTTCAAAAAGGCATTGGTGGTGATGAGTCATTGCTGTTTTTAGCCATATGGATGTGGAAAATTCCTGTTCTGAGTCATCAATACGCCTGACAATAATGCTTTCCACTATCATGCATGTTTGGCTTGAGCACCAAGGGGAAAATACTCAACGCACGAGTGTGCAAACCTGGCCAAACACTTAATGTCAATACGGTATATTGTTGATGCATTGAAGACGATGGCCAGATGTGTGGAGTCATTGTCAAAACATTATAGCATCATGTGATAAACTCCCTGGCATTATAGGCCCTGAGCTGCATGGCGCTGGAGTTATGAAAGGTCACTAATGGAGGAACTGCCAAGTATTCTCACACCAAGGAAAAAGGGGCCACAGAAGACAATAAGTGGCCCAGCTTACCAACCTGTTCAAAAGGTTAAGGTTTAAGTTACACGCCCTGTAATGACTGCTACGTCTGTCTAATATCCACACAGGTGACATGCATGAAATGAAAAGGGTTACCTGCATCATCCATGACCATTAAAAAGACAAATAGGAGTCTTTATTCTTAAGTTACTGGACTCTTGGTATGATTGCCTTGTTCAGACAATAATGTAAAAGTCTGGATAACGACATGAAACATCCTCAGTGAATGGTCAGCTTATACTGGATAAATACTGGAGCCAAACAATCATATCAATGTTGGCATCACAACCTAAGAGCTAAGAGCGGTTAGCTTGTAACATTAAGATTTTGTGAAGAAACGCACCGACAAAAAGGGAAATTGTTGTCAGTATCGTCCAATTGAGATATGCCTCATTTAGGAGTTAGGAAAAAAAAAGCAAAAAACATCACAGCTGGCATCTGTTGCGAAACATTATTTAACAAAATGCCACCCATGATAGCTGCGTTAGGTAGCCTACATGCTAACGCTAACTCGTCTGTCAAAAAGAAGCATCTTCTCGGTTCTTCTGTTGTCAGGTGTTCCTGCCACGACGTCCCAGAAATGACTGCGACAAGACCTCTTCCCCCCGATACATCTTATTATAGACAGGATACTCACTGCAATTTAACGTTTTCTCGGTCCTCCAGCGGGCCTGTTATTATCCCATAAAGCGTCCCCCCGTTGTTCCAGCAGACCCTCCCAGGGTAGGCCGCATCCACCGCCGCGTCCCTCGCGTACTGCCTGCTACCGATCAAGACACGGGACCGCGCGGCGTAGCTCACAAGGTAGACGACGGAGGATTCACCTGGGAGGCCTCGACAACTACGGGTATCCCAAACCCGCCTTGCTGTGCTGCCTAGGCGGGGATCCCCATCACATCTTTCTCTCCAAGGATTTAAACTGTGCACCATGCAAAGGTAAAATGTTATCTCATTCCACACACCACAGCGAGCCTCGACAATCTCGCGTTTCTAAACCAGTTGTGTTTAAAAGTCTTTCGGCTGGCGTGAGTTACCCCTCTATCTTTTTTTTTTTCTCCCCCGGCGGTGAGATGAATTTTCGGGTCCTGGCTTTTCAAGCTCGGATCAACACGAAGTTCAGCTCCGCTTCTCCTTCCTCGCCGCAGGGGAGAAACCAATCTGTTTCGGAAGTTGTGATGTTACAGGCTGTTTCACCTGAATCCGGATCGATTCGGTTCGAATCTCATTTTTTTTTTTTTTTTAAGCAATGTAAACAATAATCAGTAAAATCTCATATTTTCTCGTGAGATTGTTCCAAGTATTTTCACCTTCGTTCAGTCCACGCCTGCCCCAATGGCAGATCCCTCGTACACAATACAATTTATCTAAGCCCACCCACAAAACCACTAAAATGTTCACTTGTCAGAAAGTTGCTATTTCTTATGTTCATTATGTTCATACCAACACTATATATTGTAAAAAAAAAAGTCATTGATGTTTTATTTATTAAGTAGGCATTAAAGAATGAATGGGTGTCTAATACTAAATAAACTACAGTGGAAAGTAATGAAGGGACAAATATCATTAAGAAAGTGATTCAATTCTTAGACAAAACACTTTTGATCAGTGTTGAATTACAGTAGAAAATAAAAGATTTATAGTCGGACATGTAAAAACGGTTGCAAAGTTTTATCTTTAAAATCATGCAGTAGATTTTAAAACATCAGCTCGTGGAAAAACAGCATTTGGCATTGTATAAACATTGTTCGGGGTAACCAGCCCTCTCGCTGATCACTGAACTCATCAGCAAAAAAATAGATGTAGTATTTCTTTCAGAATTGAAGCACCGTCAGAGACAGAAGCATTAACACAAGTCCATGAAGATAACCACAGCTGATGAAGTTAAGGGCCTTTATGGCACATAGCTACCTTGTGGCATTCCCTTTATCTCAATTATGATAAAGCATTTCATTTCCATACATCCTCAGTAAAAAAAAAGAAAGGCCAGCAGCGTCTTGATTTGAGCTCAAAGTTTCAGTTGTGATTGAAGTTCGAAGCAGGCAGGGTTTCTTCTCTTTCACTGCCCTGCGTCTCAGGTGGCTGAGTCTTGCGGTACTTGCACTGGATCCACACCCTATACATGGTAAGCTGTTTACCTCGATTCACTTGTAGCCGTCTGTCAACCAAGTTCTGCACTTTCTCAAGCCCTGCCTCTGTGAACATTTCATGGAGCTCATCTAAAATGAGAAAATAAAGACACATTCTTATTTGTATTGATATGGAAATGAAAAATGAAGAACATTTTCTGCAGAACAAATGCAAATTAATATTTCAGGAAGAGTTGTTGATTTTACCTTGAGTAAAGAAATATACTCTTGTACCATCACCCCGGACATAAAAGTTTTCTGAAGACACCTTCCTAGGAAAAAGAAGACAGCACACCTTTTATTCCACAATACATAGCAGATGTTTTAAATCATTAACGCAGAGCCATTTTTGATTTGCAGAGTTCATTGACAAGGAGTGAGTTTGACATCTTGTGCTGGTAGACCGACAGTTACTGTGCACCCCAAGTGTTGTCCATCATTTTGTTACAAACTATTACTTTATTGCACACTGTGAAGCTTGATGCAACATTACATTCTAAAATGTTGCAACCAGCGCAGTGAAACACATTTGAAGAGACCATGGAACATGGCCCCTTACGAATACATTTTCAAACTGGGGCCTCACTTGACTTGAGTCTCACAGACCTTTCTTGAAGCGAAGCTGTGCCATATCATAGCGTCCGTAGTCCCGGAGCAGCATCACTCCCCCAGGCTTCAGCAACCTCACTAATCTAGTGATTGATGCCTGCATCCTGGAACAGAATGAAACTTTAATACAATTTTTTCTTGACTTCACACTGAGTGAAAAAACCAAGAGAGGAGAAGCTCTTACTTGCTGGGATGCAAAGCTGACAACACAAAGATTAGCACAATAACATCAAGGGCTCCATCGGGTACTGGGTAATTAGCTTCCACATCACTCAAGTCATGAACAAAGGCGAGGCAGCGCCCAGGATCGTACTCTGGATTAGTCTGATAACAAGAAGGCACTGTTATATCATCAGTTAGCAATCAACCCTAGCGATAAGTACTTTAATCAACACATCATCCTTTCATTAATCCCATCATCTCACCTTGACTAACTCCACTGCAGTGCTGGAAAAATCACAGCAGTAAACAAATAGTCCCGCGTCACTGCAAAAACAAAAGCTGCAGTTAAACCTTTAATCGTCGTCATCATCATCATAACACAGCAGCAGAGAGTTCTCTAAACCACGGCTTGGAAACATTAACAACTCGACTGCACTCACTTGTTGGTTTTCAGAATTGGAAAGACTGTGTTTCCTACTCCACATCCAACCTGTCCAATAAATATACATTCATGTTTGTTTATTCCATTTTGCAGAACATACAGCAGCAAATTTAGTAACAAAACCCCCCCCAACAAAACGCACTTCCAGCCGATGAGGAGAAATGCAACAGAACAGTTAAATGGAAAAACATGACATGGTTTTAAAAACAATTAAAAAAGGGAATTGACTTCATGAGTAAAAATGGTGAAGGCTAGATGGCTGAAAATGTGATGCTGTTTTAGTGGGACTACCACTTATGTACTAGAAAGGCTTTATATCTATCTGGAACTTGATTAGCATCAAAATACTTCACAAAATGATTTTTTTAAGAAAATATTTAGAAATGCTTTATTTGTAAGAAATCAAAAAAAAATTATAAACAAAAAAGAAAGCTGGCAAATGGATACACAACTGAACAGACTGTAAATATTCCAGCAAAATTTTCCTGTATCTTTTTATTGTTTGAATAAAGCTGGACCAACTTGCTTTCCATTATTCCCTCACCTCCAGAATGCGATATGTGGCAGAGGAGCCGGGGAGGTCCCCATCAGCGAGGGACAAAGCTGCCAATCCCCTTGTTGGTTCGACAGCGAGAGCATCCTGCTGTCCATCTCCCGTACAAGCGGCCTCTGGATTGGACTCATGGTTAAGGCTACACTGTGGGGCCAACTCTGGGAACTCTGTGAAGAGCCAGTGACGGTCTTTGAAGAAACGATTCTCATGGATTGTGTAAAAATCGTTCCAGTACTCATTCGCCCGGTTGTCGTATTCCTCTGTAAAATAAGGTAAGACAGTAAGGCCAGATACAACATCTAGTTCATCTTTTGTGAATTACAAATCAAAACGACAACTTGTGCTTTATTTTTGATGTATTTTTCCCAGAGCTATTTCTCAGCTACAGATGTCAGAGATAAATACAGCCATGAGTTCATGAGCCTCAGCCATTATTTAACATTTTCACATCTTCAAAATAAGATCCTTTAACATTCAAATGAAATAGAAACGAATGCAACAGTGGGCAGTGCTGTCCTCCTGGTCAGAAGAGGTTCTGGTTCTGACCCATGAATAAAGTCATACTGGAACATTTATGTATGTGAGCAGTGCGTCTTGCAATACAACCTTGTTTCTCTGAAGGTAGGGGCTGACTGTTTTCTGAAACTTTCTTCTTGGCAGATGCTTCTTGCTCCTCAGTCCACTCTACATTATCCCTGTTGAAATCAGAAAAAAATATGATCCAGTCTGGGAGAGGAAATGCAATTCATAACCGCGCAGAAACACTTTACAGTCCTAAGATACTCTCCAAATTCAACTGGGCTGGGAAATTGGGGCAAACGGAATTCAGGATGGCGACACCTGAAATGAAATGACAGTGTGCACAAACTAATAAGTCAGAGAAAGTGAACGATGAGATCTCTTTTCAAATAATAATAATATCTTTATATTACTTGTCTTTTGACAGACCCTCTATGAAAATCAAAATAGTATTAAGTCACGACATATCTGACAAATAGATTTTACCTTCTATAATGGTTAGCTACAATAAAATAACAAATATTATTGACGCAATTAATAGCAAACATACTCTCCATTATATGTCTCACCCAGCCAGGGGATCTCTATGGGGTTCCAAAAGTGCAGTGCTGTGTCTTTTCAACTAACTGTACCTTTAGTTATGACAGACCTTTTGCTGTCAACTGCTCACAGATAAGTCAATTATCAATTCAGCTTTAAACTCCACGTTTGTAGTTTTTTTTGGGTTTTTTTGTACTCTCTGTCATCTTCATGTCGTCTGACTGCTATACACTTTCATTTGATATGCAGTATTCATTTATTTTAGTTTGTTTAGGTCCGAGTGAGTGGCAAAACACAACTTCAATTGTGGATTTTCAAAAAGAACAATACGATAAAAGAACAATGCTTGGCAGTTCAAGGTATAACAATAATATCCTAATCAATTTTTCCATAATTGAACAATATGTTTGAATAGTTCATGAAATCCTCACTTCCAGTATTAGATTTCCTATAATATAATAATAATAATAATAATATATATATATAATATAATAATAATAATAATAATAATAATAATAATATATATTATAGGCTAAACGACGATTAGACACAAATCGTTTTGCCACATATTTGGTTCTGACCATAGACTGTAGTACACAACAGCTGTGTGCCCTGTTTGATATCAGTTACAAACCATGCGTTGTGCTGAAAGACCTGACGCGGGTCCGTGAGGAAACGAGTCCCAAACTGGGGTCTCTTGACATCCTTGGGGTCTGAATCTGACGGAATAAGCTCTGTTTCACTGCAGCCTCCATCAACGCCGGCCGCGGCATGGGGCGCCGCCATGTTCGATCTGACGTAACGGAAGCAGGGCGATACGTCTTACCGTGCTGCGTTCAAATACAATACGGAATCTGGTAATTTAGACCGACAGTGTTAAAATCATACCATGCGACCATAGACTATATAAATATTAAGCGACGCATATTTTAGACGTAATAAAGGAGTTGGAAGGGATTAATATATAGTTGGGTTTTGTAAGGAAGTAGATGGAGGTGAACATTTCACACGTATTATAACTTGTAACACTTATCACCAACATCCGAAGACATGTTTTATTCAATATTTACAGTTTATGGTTTTATTATACATTTTCATCTTCATTTTCTTTTGGACATATAAATGCAGCTTATTCGAGAAGGAAAATTGGTCTACAATGAACTAGTCCCTTTCGTTAGACAGACTTCTTTTTGCAGTCTACAATGTGGAATAATATATATATATGCCTATGCGGTGTGTGGCACAGGTGACAAGTGAAAGATATCCCCCCAAAAAATCCCCGTCCTCAGATGGCAATAATCAACATTTATGAATTGCACTGTAGTAGGGTTAACAACAAGACGATTATGTGTCATGCAGCATTTATTGGCAGTGTTTATACACTAGAGGGAGACATATCCCAAGAGTACCTGATGTTAATCTGACCCCCATGTATGAAGATAATGTTTAATTTAATGTGGACTATATTCAGTACACAAATGAATGTTTTCACCAAACAACATTTTCAAAGACGAAGAAGTCAAATAAATAAAAACTGATCTGACCATCAGTTTCCTCAATGAAATGCACCGATTCCCCTCTACTCACTTTAGTGGTACAGCTATTTCGTGAGAGATGAAATGACTAATATTTGGGCGGACACAGCTGTGTAAGTGAGAGTGAATTTTTAAGGTCAGCATCATAGCATGTCCTATTTGTCTACAGTGGAGGAAAAAAAAAAAAAATTTAAACCCTGTTCTGGTGCCGCAAATACAGATTGTTATTATTTGTATTAAGTGGATGTTCTGCACAAGAGAATACAAAACATCAGTGGTCAGACATGAAGGATTAGCAGAACCAGATTCTAAGTAGGTATATTAGTGTCACTCGTTGTTACTTAAAGGTGGCTATTAAAGTAAGTGAGAGAATTGAACAGAGACAACAATGCTGAAAGTACATTTTTATTACCATCCTGAACTTAAATACCAACACAGTGTAGTAACACAACTTGATACAACACACACTGGTGTCTCAGGATGTGGTGAAAGAAAAAAAAATGTGTGCAATAAGAGGAAGTGCAAAGTGACCCCAATTTATCTCGGATTGTACAGCAAAGAAGTGGACAGACAGAGAGCTTAATCTCGACCACATGGTGCATGCAACAGGAAATATACTGTGACATGATATGACTGATGACATATTTAATCAATTTTAGCAGGCAGGAAAAGGCTGGAAATAGAACAGGAAATTGTTTCGTGAGTTGTACTGTGTTTATGATGCCCCAAAAGTTTGTGTAATAGCTCACTGTTTGTCCTAATGAAGCTACAAGATGGAATGAAACATGCCGCTTCTCACTGAAATCACACAGTGATAAAAATGTATTATTAGTTATTATGTACGTTCAGAAAAGTGATGTCTACAATGTCACACAGTGAATAGAGAAAAAAAAATGAATAACCTAGCCTTTCTTTCTTTTTAAGAAATGTTGGTATTGCTTTTAAATCTAAATAATTTTACTTTCTTCTTAGGCTTTTACAGAAAATTGTTTAATGACCCCAAATGTCAAGTTGCACACAAAAGACACCGAGGTGAGGTGTAATAAATGATTTGGTATTTCTTGTGCCTATCAAACTAAGGCATCTTCTATTGAAAACAGATAAATGGAACACGTTTCAGGTCATGAAGTTAAGGAGAGTCCAAGTTGTACGGAAAAAGGCACATCACATCTTCTCTATTCTTCTCTTAGTGGTTTGAAAAGAGTAACATGTTTTGTTTTTGTCATAAAATTACCAGAAATATGAGACAGTACTATTTGTGCAATAAAGTTTGCTCATATACAGATGTGGTTTCAGTGTAACACAATGTGCAGATCACGACATGGTCAACCAACGCTTAAAATCAAATGAACAATAAAAAAGCCAAGCAAACCTTGAAAACAGGTGATGATGCAAAAAGAAACGGAACATGTGCATTTCAAAAAACAATATTCAAACACAATCATCACTGTAAACCAAATCAGCCTAGAGGCTGTCGTAAAGGGGTTTCACTCCTTTTCAAAGCCAACAGTAGACTCACACAATGCGGCTGTATTTTAAAAATCATGACACAAAAAAAAAGTTTGTTTTAGGAAAAAAAAAAAGGTAATGTCATGTACACAAAAACCTCTAAAAGCCTTTCCAAATAATAATACAAATACTACTGTCTCCACTGTGACAAATGTTGTTTTGGTTTGAGATTGCCCTTTTCAGTTAAGTCAAGAAGAAACAGCTAGACTCTAAAAGACACAGACTTATTTCTGCTCGGTCATGGTGATTTCAATTTCATCTAAAAATGTGAGCAAACTCAAAAAGACTCAGAGGTAATGATACAAGTTTTGAACAACCATTATTAACTGATTAAGGCACTGATAACCTGTGGACAGGGGTTGAGAACTAGCATGCTTGCTAAAACACTTAAACAATGCATCTGGTTCGTCCATTGTATCTGTGATGTCCATGCCAAATAAAGTCTATTATTATTATTATTATAACTCAAATTACATGTACTATACTGAAGTAAAACAGGAAGCCTTAGATAAACAGTCTCAGTTATTTTTTACAATATGTACAATTATTACATCATGTTGTTGACAGCGATACCTACTTATCAGCTACAGCAGCCGGATACATGACAGTGTAAAGGATCTTCCTCCCTTCCATCTCTCTGCTGCTACATTCCATCTTTGTCGTTGAACCCTGAGTTAGTTTCATTGCATTTGGATGTTAGTTGCCTCTGTATGCTACATTGGTGAAGGTGGATGTTGCTCCTTTATACAAAGGATTGTTCGCCTGAAAAGTGAAAACACAAGTACTGCTGTTTAATTCATTTCCACCATGACATGCAACTTTTTGAAGTACACTTCAGACTTTCTCCTGTAGAGGGCAGCCAGTCTGACGCTGAGTCCACACGACTCAGATATCTCAAGGAGGAGCGGTTAGTGCATGCAGAAGGTATTTGAACCCTAATTCATTCTTACCGTATCCCATTTGGCCTTTGCTCTTTCCTCCTCAAACTTGGCAAACTCATTACGGTCAGAAATGGTGACTACAAGCTTCCATATTAACAAGCCAACAAGGCCAAGTAGCAGGACGGCTCCAGCCACCGCCAAGAGAACCACCAAGATATCTGCACCTTCAGGACACTCTGAGGGTAAAGACAAAGGAGGGACAGAAAGAAAAGGCCTCTTTTTCAGACTTGAGTTTGTTTGTTCAGCAGTGAGGCACACTCATGAAGATAAGCATTCACTGCAGTCATAAACTCCATTACACTACCACTCATTATCACACACATATCTGGGTTTCTGTGGTTCAGTGTAGCTGGGTTCTTTAGAAAATAACTCATAACTAGATGCACACAGTGTCCCCCCCTTTCCTGTGGTGTTACAGATACAGTCTAACCTAATAATGTGCCTTAATCACGATGCTAAGTTATCTTGCAATGTGAGTGTTCCAGTCTCATACATGCACATAAACTCTTACAGTACCTGGCTCTTTTATCACATTCAGGTTGGATTTGCCATTCTCATCTTCGTAATACTGGAAGTGCTCCACACAGTCATTTTCATCTTTGTAGGAGCAATTGACTGCCTTTTCTTTTTTAACTGAAGAAGAAAAGTGAAAAAGTTAAAGAAGAAATAAGTAATTCAAAAATAATTTATATACATATATATATATATATATATATTATACACATTGTTTATCTGTGTAAAATATTCAAGGATCATGTAAGTATACTTTCCAGATCATTATGCTTACATGATAGGCTGCAGGAAAACAACAGTCAGAACAGTTAATATCATATTATGTAGTGAGGAGACTAAAGATGGAGATCTTACCCAATTCTTCTACGACATGAATTTCATCTTTGCAGATTTTGCTGCAGCTGTTGTCTTTGATGTACGGTCCTCTTTTGAAGTGCAGACATTCAACACACGGCCTGCAAGCAGAGTCCCATATTGTACTCTTTAGATTTCACAGTGCATTTAGTATTAGTGCAGGGTTTAATCTAAGAGAGTACTTCACGATGAAGCTTTATCTGGTAAGTGTTGATATTTGATGACTTTGTTGCTTTGAGCAAATTTTGACTTCTATTTTGTTTATAAAAAACACAGTTGAGTTTCTTCTAAACTAGTGTGGGGGTATTTTGTTATCATCACGGAATGAGGGAATATCATTATGTAGAGTGCAACCAGCCAACTGAGTTGCCATCCTCCTCTTTGGTTAAGATGTATGTTCTTCTAGCAACAGGGTCAGGAATGGTACAGATTTAGATATATTGGTAAAACTTTGATGACCTCTTGATCTTTAGCCACCATCAAATCAAACAATTCATTGACCCACTACTTGGTCCATGAGATGGAACTATACTCTTAAAACCTGGGGCCGGATTCACAAACACTTTCTTAAGATAAGAGTTCGAAAAGATTCTTCAGAAAAAAGTAAGAAAGTTCTTAAGAAATTCTTGTTATTTTAAGAACAGTGTCCTTTCTTAAGAACTTCTTTATTTTCTTGCTTATGAACTTATCATATGAACTTATGAACTTCTCATTTGCTGTAGGGCAGGCATATACTGTATCTCTATATAATAGAAAATTAGGACGAAATTGAAGAACTTTGCTTTCAAGAATGTAATTTATTCTTACATTTTTTTCTTAGGAAGAAATATAAGAAGAAAGTAAATACAAACTTTTTTCACAAATATGAAATCTTCCTCACTTTTGTCTTAAGAAGAAGTTAAGAAGAAATCAGCACTTAAGAAGTTTTTTTTTTCCTTAAGAAGGTTTTGTGAATCTGGCACCTGATGTCTAATTTCCATTAGCTTGTCCATAGATGTTCATTGTTCCTGAGGGATCTTTTAGGGTTTTGATTTTGTCTCCACTTACTTTAGTGTCACTAAAAAGCCAAAATCTTACCATTTAGACAACATGAAGGATTAAAACTTTGAATATACGATGTCTCATCATGATGGTAGACTGCATTTAATTATCTGAGCCCTTCTATGCTCACAGGGAAATCAAACCTAAAGACTTTTTTTTAATTTCCTCTGCTCAGGACAAACTTACAACTGCTAAGGTTTTCTTTTATGTTGGATCTGTCTAAAACATGTATGTTGAAGCACGTTGGAGGTTTTAAAATGTAATCTTTTGATAAATTGTGTAATTGTGCTTAAGTTCATTCAAAATAATTTTCATTTTGTCCATGTATCCTCTCTTTTGTCGGTTGGAACACAAAGTCAGGAACATACTTTTTTATGTCGCAGGAGTCGGGACAGGTGGGGCATTTCTCACAGGTTGCTCCGTAGGCACCAGTCTGGGTGCACTGACAGACCCCGCACTCGCAGTTCCCCCGGCCGCTGCACAGCAGGCCATTGCTGGACCAGCAGGTGTCAATGCGTGTGCTGCAGTTACAGTTCTCTCCTTTCCAGCCAGAATCACACTGGCAGAACCCACAACTACACTTCCCATGATCTGAAAAACAAAAATCCAAACAGGATGAGCAGGTTAATGCCATCAGAGTCGTTCAAAAGAAATATGATTTAAGAATCAAATCGAATATGTGAAATTAAAACATTGCATCAAATTAATTTCATTTAAAATGTATTTCTAAAAGTCTAATATCACATGGGAGGGGCAAGGCAAATGATACTGCGAAATACAGATTGCAAAATTTTGTGTGGGTGTGTGGGTGTGTGAGTGTGTAATTTGTTGGTGGCCTTTTAACCTGTGGTGTTTTGTAAGCATGATGCATGATTGGGCATGAAGTCTGCCTGTGGATACACTGATAGATTCTGCAACCAAGTAATTACTAGCATTAAGTGTGATTTGTTACTTATTTATAATTGATGTACTCATCTATTATTTGACGTATTTAGATATTCTTACATATTTCGCCATGAGTAGGCTGCTTAATTTATTTGTATATGTATTTGTATTTACACATATTCTTTAAATAATTTCAATTCATGTAGTGACTTGGTAACTAACTGTGCTTAAACCTTCTCTTGCTCATCTTGACATGGTATCTCTGAATCATCCCCAATCTCACAAAGACAGGAAGTGTTGTAAAAATCAGCGCTAATGATCCCCCCTCTCCTACACACACAAACACTTCCTCTCAAGTTTTACTGAAGAGGAGAAAATAATATAAGCTGGGTCATTGTCAGAACTGTGTTACAGTCATTGGCAAACAGAATCTGGAGGCAAGTTTTTATCCCGAGATTACTGAGACACCCCACATCAGCACTTTGTGCCACCTTAGAAACAAAAGCGGAGCCCCCAGAGATGACATTGAGTTTAGCAGGAAACCAAAAAGGATTTGGCACAGTATGACTAAGCGCAAAGAGAATGAGTCAGAGTGCAACTAGATCAGACCGGGGGAATGACTGGTAATGAAGTGACACAGAGGGTCCAAGGGTCTATAATTCTGTTGTTCAAAATGAATCATCTGCTGTTCAGGTAACAATTCCCCTTTGTCCATTTAGCAACGGCTGCTCCTCTTCTTGGTGTGTTTTTAAATGTGATGGCTCGGAGGTAGTCACTTGAAAAGGGATTGATGGTTAATCGCTAACAACTTCACATACTCAGCAATGTTTGGCAAGTGCAAGGCTACTTTGTCACTGTAGCAAAGGTTTTTAACTTTTGCATTTTAAAGCACTAAAACTTGACAAAAGTAAGTATTGGTGTGTTTTTGTTTTTTTGAAAAGTCAGTTACCACGCATTAGGGTAGGCTTAGTACAGTTAGGGTTAGACACAAACTGGAGTGAAAAGACATTTGGCAAATTGCCAGCAGAGGAATGCAAACTTCCCTCACATTTACAAGCCCTGGGGCTCTGCTTGCTGACTCCTGCTCCTGCGCCCTTCACTGGTCCCTCACTCCCTCAGCAGAGGAACAAATACTCAGCCACAGGGAATATCACCGAGATGGATCTCTTTTGGAGCACTGGGTCACAGTAGCACCAATTGAGCTGGGGCCGAGGGATGCTTGTTCTTTAAAGACAATAACGCCACAACTCTACCGAGACACAACAGCTTAGCGGTCTGCATCAGTCATGGCTTTCTGTGCATGGGCTTGTGGGTGGGCCTGTGGGATGACCAAACCCTGGCTGTCATAACTGATTGCTTTAATACCTGTCTCTCAGATAAATACCGTCCCTTGAGAAAGACTCTAGCATTTCCTTGTTGATATAAATATGTCGTGTTCCAGGATTGTTTTTTTTTTAAGCTTTCCAACACAGGCATGACCGTCTAACCTCTCTGAGGTTCACACACAAGGGGCCCAGAGAGTAGGTTGTGTTTAGTTTTTATGTATTATCTGGAACTTAAAGTACAGGACTACTAGACTGTGACCAGTATGTAAATATCACTTCGGACTTTTGTATCCAATTACAGCTGTCTCCTTTATGTTGCAGTTTCACATCATGTTCAACAAAAAGAAGAGTCCACTTCTGTGTAACTACACAGAACATTTATCTTATTATTTGATGCAAAATGTCAACTCTAAATTACCAGAGGCTTTGGTATATCCTAAAGCCAAGTCTCATGAAATGCAGAGTTCCATGCTCTCCATACTGCAACTGAAGAGCATATTTAAAATAGATAACGATAAAGGTACATTATGCTGCTATTCCTCAGCTGTCCTCCTTACGATCACAGCCCAAACTGCTGTTACATTAAATTACCCAATGACAATGCCTGTTAAAGTTTAATCACTCTGATTTAGTAACTGCACAAAGTTGTGCAGACTTGTAAAAGGGAGTGATAGCACATCCTGCTGCAGTACTATGAGTGGTAAGAACACAAGTCAAACTCAGATGTTTATGGGCCTGACAGAGGATTGGTTATTTGTGAACACTGTTGTTTATGCTCAGCAACTCAACAATGCAATTATTAACTTTTGGGTTAAGGAAACGATAACTGCAAATTAGTTTCAAAGAGGCTTTTGAATGGGATTCATTGCTCAGTTTAGTATCAGAACGCTATGCGAACAGAATGTGTTGTATTTACAGGATGAGAAACAATCAAAGAATCTTCCTGTAGAGTCAGACGAGGTCTAAGTACAGGGAAAAGGAAGGGAAGGGCGACTTCACTTTTCCTGCTAACAGTGACATAAATATCCAATTAATAGAATATAGACATAAAGAGTCTTTTTTCTTAAATGACATCTAACCATACCAATACTTTTGGTATTATATGCACAGGTGAAATTTCCGCCACAGACTGATTTAATTGAGGTAAACCGGTTTAATTAGTGCTCACTTCTAGCACCAAAAAAGGCTGGTTCCTAAGTTTAACATAATGGTAGTAGTCTGTGATGTACAGCCACAGATGTCAATCCGTTGCAACAGAAGCATCTTTTCATGTATCCTACTACTGTCAAATCAAATCAGCACTTCCTCGTTTGATTTTTAGCAAAATCCTACATTGGTGTTTTTAGAAAAATATCGGCTTGTTGTTGACATAACCACAGAGATTTGATAAAAGATATCTACTTACTGGAACACAGTGCCCCTTTGAAGCGCACGCAGCTGAAGTCGTCACATTGACAGTATTTGCCCCACACCTGACCAAAGTCATTTGAATGGCAGGAGCACTGGCCGCACAAACAGTCGCCCTTCCCGCTGCAGATCAGAGTGTCTGGATTTGGGGTGCAGTTGGCATCGTCAGATGGTCTGTAGTCTTCCACTGAACATTCACATCGTGGGCCGAGACGACCTTGGTGACACTGACACACGCCGCACTCGTACGTCCCGTTGCCATTGCTACAGAGCGAGCTGTTGCCTTCGGCCATTGCTTCACAGTCGCAGCCACACGCAAAATCTACTGTGACCTCCAAGGAGTCCTTAAAGCCTCGAGGTTTAATAGTAAATGTGCGACTCTTCTCTTTGGGGCAGTCTCGCAACTTGGCCTCCACACTGAATGACACCTGCAGAGGAGAGAAAGTCTCTGTTGAAATCTGTATATGCAAATACTACATGCATCTAAACTGATTCACTCATACGTACTGTGTCACCAATGACGAGGCCAGAGCAGGACTTGAGTCCAGGGATGACCTCTCCTTTAGTGCAAGAGGCGTTGAAGGAGAGAGTTAACTCTTCTGGGACATCTACCAGCTCCAGTTCCACTTTTGAGCGGATATTCTAATAAACATAAAATTAATTGATCACATAATACAGTGTCAGTTAGAGATGGAATGAATCATGTTAATAACTTAGTTTGTGGTTTCTACATATTTTCCTAATTTCAGGAGATCTTACCGCGTAAGCCTGCTCAATGAGCTCAATTACATTCCCTGAGTCTTCGGAGAGCATTCCCACAGTTGTTCCAGGAATAAGTTTACTGTAATTCTGGGGGAGACAGACACGACAACCAGATGATGACCCTTTTTTTTTTTTTTCTCCATACAATACTGAAACAAATCTATTTTTTTTTCTCAAACATAGCAGTCCGTTTACCTTGTAAAGATCAAGTACATAGGTCGTCACAGCCAAAATTAAATTGATGTTGTTTTCAGACATTTTCTCCGTCATGAGCCCCAAGGAAGGATAGTCCTTAAACACATGGGAAGCATTTTTTTTTTCAATGGGAGCAGGTTCTGTCACAAAGCTCCAAACAGTTTCGTAAACTACAGCAAATTAGTTATAAGCTTTCATGTTTGCCTTTACCAGCACATTGGACTTGTTGTAGACATTGTCAATGTCAAGGTGACATTGTCCATCATTGGGCTGAACAATTCCAGCTATACGTCCATCCAGAGCAAGGTGAGTTTTGGCATCAGTGGTGTATACCAGAAGATGTGAGGCATCAGGACGCCAGCCAACCTTGTCCTAAGGATGATGGATTCAGAAAGACATATGAAAAACCTGAAAGACTAATATGGATGTATGCATCGACTCAGTCAGGCAAATCAGCGAGCATGAGTTGTATCCATTTATGACGACATGCTTATACCTTGCACACCACCGCCTGCATGATAGCATCAAATCCACCCTCTGGAGAATCTCTGTTTCTAGACACCTGCTGTTTATCCACCTCGTCATTGAAGCGATCTACACTCTCTGTCAGTGACAACACATGCTTGAACCCAAATTGAGCCAGACATGTAGTGCTGATTCTGTGAATTGGAGATTAGTGAAAGAGAAATGTCAGTTTCAACTATTTGAACCTTCTTCTTAACTTAATACCAACAATCACCTACTCATCGCAAGGGTTTGCCACTGCCTCTGGAGGATATGTGTACATGTAAGGAGAGACGGTCTTGTCCACAAATGCTCCAAACCCCATGCGTAGGTTGCTTGTAGTGCGGCCCATAACTGCGGCAAGCTTGTTGCCCAACGTGCGAAGGCGATCCAAGTCATCCTTCATTGAATATGAAAGGTCCATCAGATAGTAGAGATCTACTGGGTAATCTTCCACCTGTTTCACTGACACGATGAACTGCTTGGCATCACCTGGGAAAGAGGATTAAGATGAAGTGGTGTTTCATTATATATGAACAACATGAGTAATGGTCCTCAGTGTCTGGTCTTGCAGAATTGTTATCATCTGCTCAAACATGTTCATGGATAATGAAATTGTTTGGTGTTAAGAGTACCTGGTCTTAGTGTCATGTGGACTTTCTGAGGCTTGATCTGAGTGACACTAGCAGTCCCTGAGGCCTTGTCGCTGAGCGGTTCGTCCTTCTGAATAATCAGTGTGCTGGACGGAAACTCCAGAGCATCCTCTTTGCATCCTCCATCCAGTAGATCCTGCTTCAGGTCACAGCGGGACGCGCCGGATCCCCTTTTCCCAAACTCCTAAAACAACCAAATGCGATAGGTTCAGCACTTCAGCTAGTAATCAGTTATTTAATGACATAGGTAATCAACAAAGAACATCTATTAAAGACAAATCGTTTTAGGTTTTGGTTTACTGGGTGATGCTGTTGTATGCACAAATAACAGGCTCAAGTATTTCTCAAGTGTAAGAGCTGTTATGTCAACACTTGTTTTTAATCTAAGTTGTTCAGACAGCACAGTGTGTATCTATGTTGAAGATGATCTTTTTAGAATATCAACAGGAAGAATGCTGTTGGGAAATTAGATTTCTGTTGAAACTCGCTTCGTTGAGTAATAGGAGGAGCGCATAGACACCCTGAGTGTATGTGCGTCTGGTGTTTTGTTTTTTTTACCTCCTGAGAGCACCATGCACAGCTAGGATCAACGGCCAAGCACTGTTGACAAGTGGTGACTCCTCGTGATGTGCAGATGCTGGCACCTGTGAAACACAAATGTAACACAAAATGTGTTTCCTCCAGATTACCATAATTAGCCAAAGTGAAATCAGTAGAGAAACATGTTAACAAATTGCAGCATACATTTCATTTCATATCAAGATGAACTTTTTGAAAAATCCTTTTTCACTCTTTATAAGACCTTTGGGTGTGGCCCGCTACAGTAAACAAAGTCAATAAAATTTACCTCTGTTAAAAGTTGAACACATAGATTAAATACAGCAATTGGACAGTACTTTAAAGAAGAAACAAGTTGTAATTTGACTCTTGAATAACTGCTGCATATAAACTGAGATTTTCAGCGGACCCCTATAAAAAAAACGACACACAAACAGAAAAACAAATACACAAACTATTTTCTTATCAGACAATTGGATTTAAAAAGAATGAGTTTAAAGCGCCAAAACGTTTGTGATATTTCACTGACGGGAGTTATTCTAAATATGTCTGATTTTGCAGACTTTTGAGAAAAGTCTGTCAGTCTCTTAGTATAGGCTATGTTTATTTAGATGGTTTATTGCTTTTTTTTTTAGAAATTGAAGAAGCATAAAACCACAAAGCACATTCTAATTATTTGTTGATACATTGTTTTATTTTGCTAAGGAGACCCAGGGTATCTGGTCATTTGGGGAAATACATCCCGACTATTTTACTCCCTTATAAGGAAAGGTGGCCAAAGCTCCAGCGGTGCAGCGCAAATACAACCAACAGTAGGACATGAACACGTTCAAGTCATTTTACAGAGAGTTATTCTGTGTTAACACATACCATATCAAAGCTACTGTGAATTTATCAGGATGTAGCCTAATACTTTCAAAGATACCGTACAAGTCGGGCGGAGACACTCCCAGGTCGACTAAAGCAGGTGAAACTTGCTTAGGAAAAAAAGGACTAAACATCTTACCGAAAACGTTTGTTGCCGCTGACAAAAAGAGAAAAACCAGAAAGAAAGTCCCCATGGCTGCCTGGAGAGTAACGGAGTTGAGTTGACACGAGTCGTCCCTTCCGAGTTCCCTATGTGGGCTTGTTCACTTCTTTTCTAGAACGCCTTTCCTCATTCTTGACATGACTAAACACATGTTGGGTCATACAACTCTGCCTCATGCATCAAAGTCACAGACCAGTTGATGTAATGCAGCCTATCTCTGATGGAACAATAACCACCCACAAGGCCCTTCAGTATATCTCTTGCACAAGTGAGATGGTCCGAATTTAAGAGCATTTTGAGAAACAAATGGAAAGATTTCTGTTTGTTTATAATACTAAAAGGAGCTGTAAATCAGACGGTGAGTGGAAGACATGAAACACTAATATTATTGTTAACAAATATCTCCGAATGTTAACACAAGGCAAACGTGTATTTCCCTCTTTAGTAACTGTATGTGGAGAGCTTGGCATTCATTTGGCACTGGCTTACAATGCTGTTGTTAAAAGAATATTAAATACTGAAATGTAATAAAAGGCAAATCAATGAAACTTTTTTTTACATTAAAAGACCACAAAGACTTCAGTACAAGTTTTATTTTTTTTTTACAAGTCAACAGATTTTTTTCTACCACTGCATTCAGAAAATCTTACATGTGTCCATCTTTCAAACACTTCTTTCATCTGTTCTAAGTTGAGTTATAGAAAAAGTTGTGCTTGTAAACACAACGGACATTAATATAAGTCTATGACATATTCATTTATAGGAGTGGGCTCTAAAGTCACTGTACAAATGAGTATATAACTGTTTCCACATTGGTAACAGTCCCAGTAATCTATTCTACTACACTAAAACATGTGTAGACATGTGTGGAAGACCCATCTCTGCTCTCAGCACATTAGTTGATTTGCTGTTTTGTGTGCTGGGGAAACTCTGGTTTAAGTGTCTTGCCTAAGGACACATTTTCCATGTGACTGCAGGAGCTGGGGATCGAACCAAGATGACCAACTCTGCCACTGAGCCACAGCCTCCCCAAAAGCCAACAAAAGTCCAACAAAACAGAGCCTGCAGTCATTTCCACAGAGATGCAACATGACATGGTGATCCACAACATGAGACTGGTGCCTCTTTTAGTTTAAAGTTGTTTTAATTGGGCTTATAACCTTTTTTACCACCTCTGCTGTCAAAATGTATGACTACCCTTTTAAAGTAGCCAATCAAAAATTGTGAAACTAGGACCCCTGGTGGTCAAAAAGAATATGTGATTACAATAGAGTTCATACAGGTGATAATGATAGGCAGAGGTTTCTTGATGTTTTTAGACTGACAGGACTGACTTTGCCATAAGCCATTGCTGTTTAATAAAACATTTCCCCCATTCCTCTGAATGGAGTGTGGAGGAGTGTGTGGACATTTCTAGCTTCTAAAAGAAGGTGACAAAAAGAAAATAGCATGAAAGCTAAGATTGCACCACTGAAATGAACTTTGGAAGGGCATGTGATGGTGGTTTGTGTTTGTGTGTGTGTGTTTGTGTGTTTAAAGGCTTGTGAAGGTAGACAATGCTTCTTATCTCTGCATTTGTCCATTTTATTGAATCTTTATCCCCGTGCCCTGCTCTTATTCTCTGACTGGTTGCTAAGTTACTGCCACCAGTGTCGAAGAAGTGCCGCTAAAAGAAATGACAGAAATAGAGGGGAAGAAAAAGTAGAAAAGCTAAAATAGTCAACGGTTCTGCTGGCATTAAAGTCTCATTGTGGGTGGATGATGCAGGTAATACATTGTTAGCAATTAAAGCCCTCTCCGGTATTGACTGATTTGGATCTATTGGCGCCAAAGCCTTCTGTGGCCACCACCCCCACAGATGAATGGTATTTGGGAAGTACACAGCGCCAGTTGTCCTGAATAAAATGCCAGAGACTGGGTCAGATGGCAGCCAATTAAGACTGAACAGAAAAGGAGAAGGGGGGGGCTAGACGAAGAAAGGGGGATGGAAGGGTCTTGACCTGTGTTACGGATCTATCTTGAGCCCTTTAAGCTGTTCACCGAGTCTGAAAAACGCCTCACACAGAGCCAATATCAAAACTCATTGGCTGCAGTGTTTGGTTAACCACAACCAACTTACCCGGTCCTGCTTTGCTGTTAGGTCGCCGGTGGGAGGGTCAAGTGGAGAATATGTGTTTTTGTCAGTCGAAGGCTTTGCGGTACTATGATACTGACGAGGGACAAAGTGTACTTTTGTTTTTGATGCTTTGCCTCCTCCTCCTCCTCCTCCTCCTCCTCCTCCTCCTCCTCTAGCCCCTGTGGATCTGCAGCTCATATTTCTGTCTCAGGGGACAACAGCTTATATGTTGACAAAGTAAAATTAGATAAACTTACAGCTGAGGATAGATAGAGGATGGAGAAAAAGAAAGAGTGCACGAGGGGATTTCTGATCTTGTTTTTCTTTTATAACCAGACTTCAACACTGTGAAGAGTCTAACGTTGCATGCTGTTAGATATAAGCAGGCTGAATGTGTCAAATAAAGGAACGAAAAAGACAGCTTGTCTATTGTTGCCTCTGTTATTGAGATGTGGAAATGTATCTAAATGGAAATGCAGTTAATGGGTAGCGACTGGTGCAGTGCATGAGATGTCACCACTGGAGAGACAGAGCAGGATTTTCTTCAATTAGTTTCCTGAAATCTGCACTCCGTCTGTCGTACAAGCCAACTCAAATGGACAGACTGCAGTGGATGCACTGCAGGAACACACACACACACACACACACACACACACACACACACACACACACACACACACACACATCAGTAGAGCCTGATGTCCCCATGCAAATCAAAGCAATGCAGTCATTATCTCCTTAAAATAACTTCTATGACTGATGTTTTCTTTGTGTGGGGTTGATGTGGCACTGTGTCCTCGCAGCCTGTATCAGCGTGTAATTATTGAATGTATTTACCCCTGCATGATTAAGAGTCCCCGAGGTGGCATACTCAGGGACGTTCTCTGCATCATGTGATATTTGGTCCATCCATATTTAATAACCAAAACAATCTTTTTTTGGTGCACACTTTACCCACCTTGGTTTTCCAGGCAATTAATTGCACACACACATAATCCACCTCACACAGGGACACAGCTGCTGCACAGTGGCTGCGGTGATCAGATATTTAAGCTGTTAATAGAAGAAAAAAAACAAAAAAAGTTGTAAGGAAGAGTGTGTTCCCTCTGAAACCGAGAGTGGGCGTGTCCATTGTGAGTCCTGAGTTGTGTCGGGCCTCACGCTGGCGCTACGCACAAAAACAATGTAGGGGTAAGAAGGAAAAGGCAGGTGGGTGGGGTCAAACACCACCTCCTAGTTGCTATGGATGTCTTCACTTAGTTTGTGTTGCTAGGCTGCCAATTCCCTCATGTTAAGTGGACCCCAACCCCCCCCCCCCCCCCCCCCTCTACTCCGTCCAGGCACCTTGTCGCTGCCTCCCTCTCATTTCCCTCTAAACCAAAATAACTTCAGCAACCATCTGTCACTGGGCTCATAGGTCTACTGTTGCTAAGGAACAAGTCAGAAACTCACTTTCATTTCTATATGCATCCTCATGTAAATATTTCTCAATTTACATATACAATATAACCGCGAGTTCGACACCTGCCTCTGACCAAAAGATTAACATTATGTAGAGCATTAACAGCAAATCCTCGGCCTGAAGCTCCAAAGAGGTAGAAGTTAGAAATCAGCATCAGGTTCTCCTGTTTATGATGCTTTAAAGCCAAAAACTTAATTTAAATGTGAATGACAAATTTTCAAAAAGACTGAATAAGAGCAATATGATGTTAACGTTTCCCTTTCACAGGATTTTGCACACACATTTTCTTCACTTGTAAATTCTTTTAAGTTTTTCTCATTTAAAGCCCCTTAGAGGAAATGTAAGGTTTTAACAGTAGCAGATGATTTACATTTAATGACTAAGAGATGAAGTGTAAGAACAAGCCACTTTTCATAATTGCACCACACTGAATAAAACAACAGACTCAAATTGCTAAATGTAGATTTAGATGCAGCCAATTAATTTGCAGCAACGAAATGCGAAGGCTAAAAGGATTATTTGATCTTATTACACATGGAAAATAGTCCTTGTTCTTCTGTTATCAGCCATTAATACGTCTTCTGTAATTAAACCTCCTCCAGGCTTATGAAAGGTATTTGTGCATGGAACTAATCTTTGTTTGTAGACTTGCCTGTCAGTTTGTGGCTGAAAGCAGCTTACCAAGACATCAGGAGCATCCCAAATTGAATTACATGGCCTTTGTTTTTAGACAAACAGCGGATTAGTTTGACAGGCTCTGAGTCCTGGTTGGTCGTTTCAAAATGTTTGAGGCTATTTTTTGTTGAATCTGTTAAATCATCCCTGGAAATGTTCAATTTCACATCAGGTTTGAGTATAGTGATACAATATTAAATCATATTTCACTTATGCATCTTTTAAAGAACAGTTATGTTTCATTTGCATTTAGGGTGCTTGACATTATCTGGGAATTTTACAAGACAAAAATATCAAATTGGTTCCTGTTTAGCCAAAACTATCTGATAGCTCCTTTATGCGTTATAGTTTTGATGAGCATTAGAGATCCTGTTTTAGTAATCAACAAGAAGGATGTCTTGTGACACGATGAAGTACAATATCATATAATGATGGAATCTTAAATATTGACAAGTTTTCTATTTACAAATTATTTAACTAAAATAGTATTATAACTTTTTGGAAAGTGATGAGAAGCCATTGCCGTCATTGCCTAATTTGGACTAGAATCATTTATTTGTTGGTGAGCCCAAATAGGCAGTTAACATGTTGGGTTATGTAGCCTCTGTAACCAATAACATCACTCAAGGTTGCATGAAATTGACATTCTAGTATTCTAGTGATTTAACTTTTTTTATACAGATGCAGCCTGTCAATACAGTGCCGCCCCCATATAAGAAAAAGTCATATTATGGATGCAGAAGAATGTGAGTGCTGTGGTAGAATAACATTAGCTCCATACAGATAAAGGAAAAGTCAATTATTGAAATAAGAATCAATAGTGATTTGAAATTTCAATCTTCACAGACTTCATCAAATGCTTTATTTGCACACAAAGGCTCCTACTTCTGTACAGATCTGTTTACTGGAGTTTCACCTGAACCTATATAGGTAAGCTGGAGTCCCGTATAGTTCCACACAACACTTGGAAGACAAAGTGATATTTGAATTACACATTCCAATAAAAAACAGAGACCCACCTGTC